CCTTGGCCCCGTCCCCGGAGGCCCGCCCTTGGCCCCGCCCCCGGAGGCCCGCCCTTGGCCCCGCCCCCGGAGGCCCGCCCTTGGCCCCTCTTGTCTAGTTCAAGAAGGCTGCAGACCCTCCCACCCTCTTGGGGGCTGGGAAGGTGGCTCAGTGGTAGAGCGCTCCCCTTGAGCTGAAGAGCTGAGGACAGCGCCCAGGCCCTTGAGTTCAAGCCCCCGGGCTGGCAAAAAAGAAAAAAAAAGTGTGGGTCAACGGCAACTTGAATGATGGGTGGTAGGAGAGGACATGGGCCCGGCACCCCCCAGAACCGTTGGTGTGCTCATTCCAGGGCCCGGCAGACCGCGCCAGGTTATCCCCTAGATTGAAGGCACACACTCAGTTGTTCTTAATGGCCCAAATGGACACAAACCAAATATCAAACAAATTAACTGAGCTATACTTGTACAATGGAATAGTCATAGCAAAGAAACAAACCAGCTACAGCCAGGGAGATGGGAAGACATATTAACATGGATATGTCATATAAACATAGTATTGAGCCAAAGAACATTGCTTAACAACAGTGTAGAATGAGCAGAAGGGGCCCATTTGACCCAGGATGAGAAGGGGTGTTTTGGGACTAACAATACTGTTTCTTAACTTTGTATCAGGGTGGGGCTGTACTTGGTCTTGAATTCAGAGCCTTGTGTTCTTGGTTTTTTTGTCACAAAAGGCTGGTTTCTACTACTTGAGCCACATCTGCACTTCCATGTACATTTCTTTTGTTGTTAGTGGTGGTGATGGGGCTTGAACTCAGGACCTGGGCACTGTTCCTGAGCTTTTGTGCTCAAGGTTAATGTTCTACAAAGAACTACAGTATTGTTTTTTTTCTGGTCTCTGTATTAACAATCTAGAAGGGAGAAATCTACATGCTCTGGAATACAATCAAGCATCAGGAATAAGCTCAAGAACAGGCCATATGTTCTTTTACTGTAACAAGGAAGACTTGAGATGGTAGTAGCAGATTAGAATGTAAATGAATTTATAAACACAAACTACCTGTGTTTTTTTCTTCTTCTTATCCTGCTCTTTTCAAGATTAACAAGCCAGGTACTGGTGGCTCACACCTGTAATACTAGCTACTCAGGAGGCTGAGAGCTAAGGATCGAGATTCAAAGCCAGGTTGGGCAGGAAAGTCTGTGAGACTCTTATCTCAAATAAACTAACAGTGGTGCTGTGGCTCAAGTTGTAGTGCTAGCCTTGAGCTGAAGAGCTGAGGGACAGCACCCAGTCCCAGAGTTCAAGCCCCACGACCAAAAAAAAAAAAAAAAAAGACTAACAAATGTTGAAGACATTGTAAGGAGTATGCCAGACTCTATTCATATACCACATCATTACTCTCACATTTCGGAAAGGCAAGTGTTGTGTGTGCTCACATACATGAGCATGAGCTGATACTGGGTCTTGAACTTGTGGCCTCAGCACTGTCACTAAGCTTTTTTCTTTTGTGCCTGTCCTGGGGCTTGAACTCAGGGACTGGGTGTGCTGTTCCTGAGCTCTTTTTTTTTTTCTTCAAGGCTAGTGCTCTACCAATTGGGCCACAGCTCCACTTCTGGCTTTTATTTATTATTTTTTAATTATTTTTTTATCGTAGTTCAGGGGCAATGAGTCTCCTGGACTTGCTGACCAGGCACGCTTTGAACTGCAATCCTCAGATCTCAATCTTCTGGGACAAAATACTATTTACAGAAAAAAAACATAGCCATTAGCCTGTAGCGCCAACAGGGTTGCAGATTCAATCTTCGAATTGGGGAAAAAAGAGGATCTGTTTATTTTTATTTTTGACAGCACTGGGGTTTGAACTCAGGGTTTTATGCTTGCTAGGCAGATGCTCTATCAATTGAACTATGCCTCCAGAAAAAAAAGGGTAAAACATTTAAAAGTCGGCGCCTTGCCGGGCACTGGTAGCTCATGCCCGTTCTCCTGGCTACCCAGAAGCTGAGCGCTGAGTATCGTGGTTTGAAGCCAGCCCGGACGGAAAAGTCTGGGCGACCTAGCTACACCAAACCACCCAGAAAGCTACAAGTGGAGCTGCGGCGCAAGTGGTACAACGCTAGCCTTGAGCAGGGACAGGGGCAGAGCCCAGGCCCTGAGTTCTGAGTTCAAGTCCCAGGAGCAGCTGGCGGTGGCTCCAGCCTGTCATCCTAACGACTCAGGGAGCTGCGATGCGCGCTGCTGTTCAAAGCCAGCCCAGCAGAAATATGTTGGTCCAATTAGCCAACCAAAAAACTTTTATTAACCCGGAAGTGGAGTTACAGTTCAAGTGTTTCCTGGCCAGGATGGAGCAAAAACGCCTGGCAAGAGCCTGAGCCCCACCCCTACCCAACCACAAACGGCATCTTTCCAGCGTTAGTTAACGACCAATAAGAGATGGCTCCGCCCCGGACGTTCTGGAGAATCCCGCCCCTCGTTCCTCTTAAACGAGGCCAAGCGCCCGGGGAACACCGGAAGTGACCAAGCGCCCACACCTCACATGGCGGTTACTTAAGCGGCGATAGCTCGCTGAAGCTGAGAGTAGAACTGGCGGAAGTGACATTTTCAACGCGCGCCCGGAATCTTGTGGGGTCGGGGAGGGTCGCGGTGGCGGGCGCCTGGGCCGACTTGGTTTAACTGCGTTTCCGCGGGCGCGTCGCCGTCCCGTGTGCGGTCGCTCAGGTAACTGCCCTTTTAGCTTTCCTTCCTTTCGAGGTCGCCTTGGGAAGACGGCCCCGCCAGCCCGGCCCCGGGCGGGCGGGCGGCCAGGGGTCGGAGCGCGGGCCCACGAGGGACGCTCC